TTCATCCGACTTGAGACTCGTCAGCTGGATATACCTGTACCTCAGAGTTGATGTTCACTCTGGAATTTGAACGAATTGTCCTTCACTTCAAACGCCATCACGCTATCCACTTAGCTACTGAGTTCTGAAAACCACTTACTTATGCAATAGAATGAAGTTTAAATTCACTTGTCGTGTGTGAGGCAGCTACCCACTATAGACAATAGAAGATGGTCGCTCAGTTTCGTGGATTGATTAAAGCGAGACATTAAAACCATTGGGTCCCGGATCAGTTGTCTAAATGTTGAGCAGTAGGGCACGAGGCCCATAGTTCTGGATCCGATCCCTGAGTGCGGGGTTTTGAATGCTCACTACTGAGGAGCTCCGTACTAAGACGAAACAGTTTCTCAGAGCTTCCAGGTTCTCAATGGTTGTCTAACATTTATTTGTTCGGGATTTCGATGAAAAATATTGTTGTCATCACAAACTATTTAGCCATCAGCTTCTAGATTAACTGCATTCAATTAGTTACGTTATACAAACAACTCTAATCTCAATTTAGTTCAATATTTAACACTTTGTGCTTTATCCCAAATCTTTGTATAAATAAGTTGGTAAATAACACAACAGTTATAGTTTTTTTGTTATTTTAAGATTAAAGTGTAGGCAGAATTCATATATTTACTAGTAATCAATACAGTTTATTTTGAACAAGCATTATTTTCATCAAACATTTAGAAGTAAATTCATTTGTTATTGTTTACTTGAATCTTCCCCTTGATGTTTAGGATTGCAATTGATCAGTCTCTTATTGGCATATATGCTTACTGTGCGTATTACCTTAATTCACAAGTATTATAAGCAAAGATGGATAATGGCTAGCAGTGGAATCCTGGACGAAAGTTTCACCCTATATCTAGGTGACAAATATTACTTCATTTGCAACTTGGAACTAATTGTCTCATAGACGTAAAAAAGCGGAAAACGTGTGCTGTTTGCTTTTCCTATAAAGCTATTCCAAATTAATTAATTGGGATCTTATGTTCATCTCCTTAAGAAGTCGTCGAGGGGGTGGTCAGTTAGTTTCTAAGGAAACTTAAAAACTCTGGTAGAACAAGTATCTCATCCTCACTGCTTCTTCAGTTAAAGTCAGCTCGCGATGAAACCTCTTTACGAGATGGATAAATTTTTACAAACAAATCAACCATATTAATAGTTGAAATCATGAGTCAATTGAAGCTAGAACACCATGGAAAACCTGAAAGCATTGGACGGCCATTTCGTCCTAGTATCGCACTCCTCCGCACCCACGATCCCGCCCCTCACGAGATTTAAACCTAGGACCTGTCAGTCTTGCACGCAAGCGCTTAACCATTAGACCACTGATCAGGCATCCAACGGTGTTAATGTCTAACTTCAACCAATCCAAATCAACTATACGTCAATAACTTCAACTAATTCGAAAACTAGAAACGTCTAAATCCCTTTTTTAAATTTAATTTAGTCCGTTAATAAATAGAAACAAAATAACTTAAGTATATTCTAATCTAATTTTCAAGAATGTGTATTTCGATTGTTTGTTTTTCGATGATTATAAAATTACATCATTAGTATATTACTAATCAAGAAATAAGTAGAAATTAAACGAGAATAATCAGGTGATCGACCTGCTGAGTGAGTGAGTGAGTGAGTGAGTGAGTGAGTGAGTGAGTGAGTGAGTGAGTGAGTGAGTGAGCGAGTGAGTGAGTGAGTGAGTGAGTGAGTGAGTGAGTGAGTGAGTGAGTGAGTGAGCGAGTGAGCGAGTGAGTGAGTGAGTGAGTGAGTGAGCGAGTGAGTGAGTGAGTGAGTGAGTGAGTGAGTGAGTGAGCGAGTGAGTGAGTGAGTGAGTGAGTGAGTGAGTGAGTGAGTGAGTGAGCGAGCGAGTGAGTGAGTGAGTGAGTGAGTGAGTGAGCGAGTGAGTGAGTGAGTGAGTGAGTGAGTGAGCGAGTGAGTGAGTGAGTGAGTGAGTGAGTGAGTGAGCGAGTGAGTGAGTGAGTGAGTGAGTGAGTGAGTGAGTGAGTGAGTGAGTGAGTGAGTGAGTGAGTGAGTGAGTGAGTGAGCGAGTGAGTGAGTGAGTGAGTGAGTGAGTGAGTGAGTGAGTGAGTGAGTGAGTGAGTGAGTGAGTGAGTGAGTGAGTGAGTGAGTGAGTGAGTGAGTGAGTGAGTGAGTGAGTGAGTGAGTGAGTGAGTGAGTGAGTGAGTGAGTGAGTGAGTGAGTGAGTGAGTGAGTGAGTGAGTGAGTGAGTGAGTGAGTGAGTGAGTGAGTGAGTGAGTGAGTGAGTGAGTGAGTGAGTGAGTGAGTGAGTGAGTGAGTGAGTGAGTGAGTGAGTGAGTGAGTGAGTGAGTGAGTGAGTGAGTGAGTGAGTGAGTGAGTGAGTGAGTGAGTGAGTGAGTGAGTGAGTGAGTGAGTGAGTGAGTGAGAGTGAAAGACAAAATAAGGAATATTAATAAGAATCACAAGTTACTATCTACATTTATACTATGCTTAAAAATAAAAGATACATGTGAATTATCTATTTAAACGAATAAACAAATATGCTGAATGATTATAGTCAAAAAGTGTCACGAAATCCACTGAAAACTGAAACCAAATAGTGACACTGAATTCTGTTGAATAATTAACGAAAAGAAAGTGAAACTGATTTAAAAAGGTGAATGGGGGAAATTCAAAACTTCGATTGTTGCAACCGGTCTAATTAGTTTGTGGTAAGTCTTCTAATTGAATGATAGATTCGGTTCCTAAGCTCTTCTAGTAACCCCCCCCCCAGCGACTTGAACACTGGAGAAAAGGCGAGAAATATGGAAGAAAACGCTCTACCCCAAAGGTTTGTTCATGTTCTGAAAATCTAGGGTTTTTACAATATTCTAGAAGTCCTTGGGTTCCCTGAAAATTCTGGAATGCTACTAAACATAGTGGATGCATTTACTAAGTGGTCAGAAGTATATATCATGCCCAATTGTAAATCAGAAACAATCCACATGTTGCCTACCTTGTTGAGTTGCTTTGGAGTTCCACAGACCTTAGTAACTGATTATGGAAATTCATCGCAGAATCGTTTAAACATTTCTGTAGCACAAATGGAATAACTCATCTTTGTTCTCCGCCCTGCGATCTAACGGACAAGCAGAACGTTTTGTGGACACTTTTAAACGAGCATTACTGAAAGGGGAAGGCGAAGGGACAACTGGACAGGTAATCACAAAATGTTCAGCGGCCCACAGAACCACTCCGAACCCAACTTTCCTAGATGGTAATTTTCCCGCTGAAGCCATGTTTGAAAGGCGTATTCGGACCATTTTCAACACCATGTTGCCACCCAAAATGGTGTATGGGCACAGTCACAATCCAAACATCCGAAGCTTTAAGGTTGACGACAGCGTCTTCATTAAATTATACCCCGGAAAGAACCGATGAAAACCGGGAAATGTCGTACAAAGATTGGAGAAAGTTCTGTGCAGAGTCTGAGAAACCTTTGGGACATGTTTCCGACATATAAATCAAATCCATAAGAACAAAAGAACGATGTTCACTCAAAATAACTAGCCAAATCTTCCGTTGGAGTTGATCCCAGACAAATCAACGTTATATACGCCCAACAACACTGAAAAGAAGTCCCGGACAAGGAAGTCAACAAAAATAATGAAACGCCGCCGCAAAAAAGTTGTCAAGCTACAAATAGATCTTAGGAAGAAATCTTATTCCCGGGAGGTGTCGAGTCGGCTTTCGAGAACTACAACGGAGCCTTCAGAGGCCCTAAAAGAGCTGGAGAGTTTCCATCCAGTCAAAACATGATGGAGTTTTCTAGAATATCAACGTGGCATGCTACTATTGGTCAGTAGCATAATATGTCTCTTTGCGGGTTGACCAAATTATAATGTTGATTTAACAAATGCTAATATATATAAATAACCGTGATTTCCTTTACACTTCGATTCTTACCAAATAAACACTTCAGCTTTTCTTCTGATTTGCGACGTTTCAACAATCGCATGTCGTAGTCGTAAACCGTATTCTGCGTTAATCAAGTAGCGAACTTAACAGTCAGGTATTTAGAGTTAAAGCCAAGTGTTCAGGCAAAGATAAAAGAGGCCCTGTCTTAACTCCGATTAATTCATCCATAATGTTTCGTTTCACCAGGTTAAGGTTTGTTTCAGAATTAAGAGTTAGGATTTAGATATAGCTTAGATTTGCTCATCATATAAAGTCTACATAGAAAGAATTGGTTATTAGTTACGTTAAGTAATTTTGTTTTGACTCTATGAAGATTGAAGATAATTCTCCAGTAGTATTTAAGGCGTTCTAAGACTTACTCAAAGGTATTTCCACTCCTCATTTCACGTGATTTTTGAATTTTGCACAAAATACTAAGAGTTGTTTTCTCGATTGTGATTGGTTCGCGCCTATACTATACTTTTACAAAATGCAACTCTTCGTATTCTCTTATCAATATGCTTACATCCGACTCTTATCAGCTGAAAATAATAACGAAAATGTTTTGCATCTGAAGCAGAATTTCAATGATACTGTTAAAACATTTCAATCCGTAATCAGGTTACAGAAATAGCTTAGTTCATTTATCGTTTGTTTATCATATAAGCTTGTATGAGCTAATCATTATGTATTATAAGTCAAAGCAAACTACACTATACAATCAGTAGCCTATGCCTATATTCGTGGTAAGTAGATAAAGTCTATTTTTAAATGTAAACGAAAACAGATATATTGGATTTCCAAAATATTTAGAATTAAATACATCCGTATCATAAACTGTTCTGAAAAAGGGTCACTATCCTTAATAAATTAATTCTATTTTTGGCTAAAATGTTTGTTGCTGGAATTTTCAAAATAAAGTATTAAACAAGTATCCAGATTATAGACTGAAAACATTTATCATAGCAACACCATAGCAACGTCTCAAATAACAAAATTCACTAGTAATCCAACAAAGATTGTTCAAATTTTTATTTCACTGTTACAATATTTTATGACCTGACTAAAACAAACTTATGTTCGGGTAATTCTAGCAATGATGATGATGATGATGATGATGATGATGATGATGATGATGATGATGATGATGATGATGATGATGATGATGATGATGATGATGATGATGATGATGATGATGATGATGATGATGATGATGATGATGATGATGATGATGATGATGATGATGATGATGATGATGATGATGATGATGATGATGATGATGATGATGATGATGATGATGATGATGATGATGATGATGATGATGATGATGATGATGATGATGATGATGATGATGATGATGATGATGATGATGATGATGATGATGATGATGATGATGATGATGATGATGATGATGATGATGATGATGATGATGATGATGATGATGATGATGATGATGATGATGATGATGATGATGATGATGATGATGATGATGATGATGATGATGATGATGATGATGATGATGATGATGATGATGATGATGATGATGATGATGATGATGATGATGATGATGATGATGATGATGATGATGATGATGATGATGATGATGATGATGATGATGATGATGATGATGATGATGATGATGATGATGATGATGATGATGATGATGATGATGATGATGATGATGATGATGATGACTAAGTTTATTACGCAACTTCAGTTTGAATTTAATCATATATTATTATTAAACTCAATAATATACTTAAGTTATGAGAAACCAGGTTTATGTACATTGATTGATGTCTTTTTTCTCTAAGTATGAACTGGATTCATACGACCACAAACCAAACTGTCAACCAACGAATTATGTGTTTTAAATTATATGTTTCATAAATTAAACGCATAACCAGCACGAAAAATAGTATTTCCCACATAGACATTAATCATTGTGTTCTAAACTTAATTATCCTGAACAAAATTATACTTGATTAGCTCTATTCCGAAAAGAACATTTAACAGATAATTACAAGCATCAGTTTATAGATTCATACTGTTTGAACTTCAAAACACAATATGGAAAGTAAGTGAATGTTATATCCGAGCGAAGATTAAATCACGAGTAACTTCTTAGACACATTAATTGACTAATATTATCTATACTTTCTTATGGTATAAGTACTGAATAATTAGATTATGTATATTTATAAGGACGCTAGGCTGCTCATATCGGTCGAACGTCATTGGTTTGACACAGTGCTAAGATTGTATAAGTCATATTTTGATTGGTGGACAGATCACGTGATAAAAAGCAGGACATAAAGTTATAACAGTGAAACGATGTGGAGAACAATTTGAATATAGTATTAAAGATAAACCTAATAACTCTAAGGAAATTACTTCCATTATAATTGTAACTATACTCTGTTGACAGTAAACGAGAAATGTGGATAAATCAGAACATTTTTTTATAAATTGCTTTTAACTAACTAACATCAAAATACAGTACTTGAGATGCTAAATCACTTAAACTAATGGTTATATCTCAACTTCATTAACAAATTTCACTCATTACTAAGAACTAGACAAACATAATATTGATTACTATTCAGTAATCAGTCATTATTGTTCTGTATCTATATGATGAAAATATTTGGCTAACTTATTCATCTCCATGCTCATACATATATACAATAAAGTAGGCAATATCGTTTTATATAGAAAACATTTATCATCTCATAGTAATAACTTCATTCTATCTTAAAATTCCACGGTGAGACTATAATTTATGGACGACCTTCCAGTGATACTGAAGTGATCTTGAGAGTAAACACCTACTGATTAGGACTAAATGAGGGTTATAAGGCAGTTAGGATTATCGTTTACAGTTGATGTTTAGGGTTAAAAATTAGATTTAGAGTTTTCACCATGAACTGACATCAGCTATAATGCCAAAACTCTATTTAGTCAAATGTATGGATGAATTTCGCGCCAAAATTCGTGACTCGTTATCTTATATCTGATTGGTTCTTCCATAAATTATTGTTTTACCAATATCGTATCATATAATCCCTGTTGTCTATCTTATTATATGGGTTGACTGAATCTACTAATTATATGCTACTCAATAATTTATTCGATCACGATTAGTGTTTAATAGATCGAATTATTATTTATGAACAGAAATTAAACAACGAATGAAAAGAATGAGATTGGAGTTGCGTTAAAACTGCTTCAAATGAAGAATTTCTTCAATAAATTGATCTAAGGGTTTATAGAAAGGAGATGTAATATGAGGACTCAACCACATGTGAAAGAAATAGATAAACGTTCGGATAACAATTTACATAGATCGAAGTACATTTTAAACATCAACCACTAAAATTCGATTGACTGACTCACTGACCCTAACCATAAGAACTGTAAATTCTTGGTTCGATTCCATAAAAAGTCAATGAAATTAACTGACCAGAAGTTTTGAATCTTGCCAACATATTCGCCGGATGTGTTTGTGGCTTCCGAAATTTTTACAGTTTTTGCCAAGTACTATTCATTTTTCTGATATCTCCTTCCAATTCCCGACTCCATGTGTTCCCTAGTCTTCCGCTTATCCTTTCTCCTTCACGATTCTAAGTTAGTGTTTGCTTCATGATGCAGTTTGATGACTTCCGTAGTGTATGTCCTGTCCACCTCCAGAGTCTTTTCCTTAGTTTGTTCTCTATAATAGTAGGTTGTTGCTGATTGTACCTAGCCGACAGATATTGAGTAACTTGTGCAAATAACTGTTTATAAATGCCTATCATTTTATCATGGAAATTATTTTCAGAATAACTTAAATAAATTACATACTTCTCCCCAGACAATTAAATAAAAGTAACATATGTTACAGTTTTAGTTACCCGAATTCATACTAAGTTTTTTTTCAGGCTTTACTTCTATCGTTCCTAGATCTTTAAATTTTTTACTCGTCCCCCAGAAATCAACTTGACCGAAGAAAATCCTTCGAAAATTTTACAGGAAAAATCAATCCTCCAGAAAGTGTGTGACAATAATTTTGTTCAAATTTATAAACTATTACAGAATTTAATAGGTAGTATATCTTGCATGCAAAAACAAATAAACTCAGGTCTGTTGATATGCTTGAATAAACCTATGAAGTCCGGATAAATTTCAAATTATCGTGTTATAAAACATGTCTCCTCTGAATCTTTATTCATCCAACAAGTTCCTGTGAGAATATTAACAGATATAGATAGATAGATAGATAGATAGATAGATAGATAGATAGATAGATAGATAGATAGATAGATAGATAGATAGATAGATAGATAGATAGATAGATAGATAGATAGATAGATAGATAGATAGATAGATAGATAGATAGATAGATAGATAGATAGATAGATAGATAGATAGATAGATAGATAGATAGATAGATAGATAGATAGATAGATAGATAGATAGATAGATAGATAGATAGATAGATAGATAGATAGATAGATAGATAGATAGATAGATAGATAGATAGATAGATAGATAGATAGATAGATAGATAGATAGATAGATAGATAGATAGATAGATAGATAGATAGATAGATAGATAGATAGATAGATAGATAGATAGATAGATAGATAGATAGATATGTAGATAGATAGATAGATAGATAGATAGATAGATAGATAGATAGATAGATAGATAGATAGATAGATAGATAGATAGATAGATAGATAGATAGATAGATAGATAGATAGATAGATAGATGTGTACTCAATATGTAGTGAATAACTACTCAAATTCCATGTCCTACTACAACCTGATGCTGATTCAGTTCGTATAATTCATAAAACTGATTGCAGATTGCTTACTTTTTGGTTTAGATTTTAGATTTTCCCTTAAAAAAATGGATATGTTTCAAGAGATAAGAACAGTCTGATTTCTAACTTCAATCGATCCTATTGGAATGAGTCGTGTTAATAGATGTAGACTGCTCGGTTAGAGTTCACGTGGTTATCGTAACTAATAGTTAGGGACTTTGTCTGGGTGACTTGGTTCAGAACTGTTTGTAATCACACATTTTTTCATTCTACATCTAATCTTTACTACTGCCGATACTGGTACTCTTTCTTTATAACACTGTGCTAATGCGCTATGGAAACTTGAATGAATGTACATATGTTTCAGGTTCTACGTTGCATATCACTAATTGACATACTGATTATTTGCTTAGTCGAATGTCTTCTTTTCATCCACTTCGTAACTTAACATACGCTAATGTAATCTAGATCACATTTTAAGGAAAATATAATAACCAGTGACTATAATCTACATTTCTTTACGGTATACTCTATATTTATTCATTTCTAGTGGCCGTATTACAACTTGACTGTCAGAATTTGATCATCACTCAAAGAAATGGACAAAAATGATATTGATTACTGCTCAGTTATCAACTGATGTACATTTTTCAGTTCTACTGAAGATCAGTCAGTTCCACAGTAACTCAGTGATTTTATGTCAGGGTTTGTTGACGACTACCTCCAACCACATAATATACATATAATTATTTCTTTTATAATCCATTCGCTCTATCAACGTATATCAACAACTCAATGAAAACATCAGAAGCTGGATACATGTAAACTTACTATAATATTATTTTATTCTACTGGTTATATCCAGAGTGATTTTATTCACAAACTTGACCGTAAATTATCATCAATCATCTTTCTTGATTAATTAAAGCAAATGTTTTTAACCTACCAACTATGTAAAGTAGTTTAGGTACTTTAAACTTAATTACAGTTCACTGGACTGGAAGTGATCTATTTGTTTTTAAATAGCCTCAAAAGGTATTACAAGGATTAACATTTTTAAAGACCTCTGAAAACTTTTTTACTAAAGAATGAACCCTACTAGCAACTATTAACTTCTTGTGAATTATTACCATTCATAATAATAATAATCTTTTCATCCAATCATAATGTTAAATTACAATAGACAATTCACAACACACATATTCAATACTGTTGGGGACGTTAGATTCTCAAAGCTCATATTTAGTAATTTTATCTTTGTGGAGCTTGTATGCAGATGAGTGCTTGAGCATTTCTTGACACCCACGCATATAGTCGATTGACGAACTTATCAATTAAATGTTTAAAAAACTTCGATTATATATATTTATATGAATAAGCTTGATTTGTGTGCCTGATGGGCCTGGTATCTTCTGGTTACCTGCAGAATACACTTTCTACATCTTACCAAGACTTCTGGATCGAGTTATCTGATTCGGGGACAACGGACCAGTATAGCTTATCGAGTATCTGGTTGCGTGATTCTTCGTTCCGTTCCGAGTAAGACGAATCAGTAGTAGCATTCAAGCTTGACGAACATAACAAATACTGCAAAACATTTTATAATATTGAAAGAAGTAGCCATAAAGACTATTTTTACAGGGACCAGGTGTTAATCAATATTCATCTGAGTGAAAGTACATGCACTTTACAGAGATTAGTCATGATTGAATTTTCAACTAAAATATACCATCCTTATCAGTCAGTCACAACGTATCACTAAAATTTCTATTACCCGACCAAAGTTAAATAATTTTATTTATATTTTAAATAATTTTTCATGTGCTCTTCATTATCTGACATCTGACTGAGTTCAACATAGACATAGTTGACGGAAGTTCTGATGACTGTTGAGAAGTGGTGATAAACACAAGAATCATGTACAATCAGAAGATTCATTAAGAAAACAGCACTTTTTCAAAAAATGTTAAAAGTAAATTCTAAGATGATAAGCCTATTTCATGGGACCGACAATCCCCAACAATACAAAACATCATTATGTTGCTTAACACGATTATTTATTCAGTCTAAAAATTTTGTGTACTTTAGTTTTGCTTATAAATCACTTGTTGTTGTCATAGGATACAAG